CTTCATAGGGTTTTCTTGACTGTAATCTTAATGGAAGCAGATTGCCAGGCCTTTCTGTGGTACCACTAGGTAGGTTTGAACTGCCAATCTTTGGGTTAGTAATCGAGATTGCGCCACCTAGCGATCTCCTGAGCATAATACGTGTTCAAATAATGTTAGTTCCTCTCTCTTTTTTTTTCAGTTAATAAACTTTATTTTTCGTTAAAATAAACAATGTGATGACCTTAACAGAGATTTCATGCATAGAATCAGACTTTACAATATAATAAAATTCGTATGTCAGCATGTATTTTTAAAAACATGCCTTGGATTTGGCAGACGCAGAGAACAGCAGACTGTTTAAAAACGTGACTCTTTCCAAGGTCAACCATCCTTAACTCCTTTTCACTCTGCCTAGAACTCTCTGCTCCAGCCAGAATAACTTTCTCATGCTCCTGACTTGGTTCATTCTTATTTTTAGGCCTTTGTGTTAGTGCCGTTCTTGAAATGACCTTCTGACTTCTCCCTGCCAAACCCTACACTCCTCCCAAAGTGCTCGATGTTCATACGGTCCAGGAATTGGCAGAATGAAATCTGGTCAAGCCATTCACCCCAGCCCAGTTTCACGGCTGAAAGTTGTTCCAGGGAGCTGTATTTGTCCCCATGTTTGCACATTTTCATGCTATAATTTTCTACAACTTTTTGAAAATATTTTTAGAGTTTTTTTTCCCCTCCGTATCAGAAGGTTGGCAGTTGGACTCCACCAGCTGCTCCTTGGAAACTGTATGGGGCAGTTCTACTCTGTCCTATAGGATCGCTGTGAGTCGGAATCGACTCGATGGCAATGGGTTGGGTTTGGTTTTTTTAATCCGATGACAGTATAAAGTTCTACTTCTCGGGCTTACACTGAGGACATCCAGGATCAGAGAGGCTGTCATTCGTTCAAGGCCACGTAATTAATGTGTGGCCGATTTTAAACAGGCAGACAATTCTTTGGGCTTTTAGTTCATTTTCACAGAGTGGGGAAGTGATGGGTATTGCTGACCGAGTGGCTGGCTGAGAAACAGTGAGGGGATCTCAGGCATGGAGAGGCAGCTTGAGAAGGACTAACAAGGAACTGAGGGGCAGGGGCGTGCTGAGAGAGATGAGGACAGAGTTGAGGAGGGAAAGGAAGGTAGACGGGAAGCTTTGGAGGAGTAACAGGCTTACTCCAACCACCTCACCTTAAAAGGAAAAAAAAACCCTAAATAACAACAAAACATTTCTGCTTTGCTTCTATTTCGTTCTTAATAAACAACACTACTATATCTGCCCCAGAAAAACACAGCAACATAACTGGGCTTCTTTGCCGGCATTAACGGGATTTGGGTCCCACTTGTAAACTGCCAGTATGTTAAAAATAAAAACAGAAAAACAAACCCGGCCTCTTCCTTAAGGGTCGTGAGGGTGAATGCAGGGCAAAGGCAAAGAGAAGAGTTACTATAAAAAAAAATAACCAGTGCAAACATTCTGGAACTGATGTTTTCTATAAAAATCTGACGGCTGTGAATTGGAAAGAGTGAAGCGGGGAGGGAGAAAGGAATGGGGGATCAAGTGGTATCTGCTTATCGTCAGCTAGCTTTCATGTAGAAGTCATGGCAGGGTCAGTAACAAACTCGCCAGGTGGTAACTCCAGGCCGCGCTGCCATAAATAAATAGTTATGTACTAATGTCACACAACCAGGGTTAGATGCAAAGCATATGGGAAGAGAACATTCTGATGTAAATATTCAGCATAAAGTTATGGTTGCTGAATTCCGGTTTCACTGTTGATGTGTCTGGGAAAATAAAGCGGTAAGGCTTTCCAAAAACTTGTACTAAAAGGTTCTTTGAAATGTAGAGTATTCCTTTAAAAAAATCCTCCATTTTGGAGACTGTGACTAACTAAAACTGTAATTAAGCATCATTGAGACTTGGCAAGAATACAGACTCTGGAACATACGTGAGGAGTTGAAACGCTAGCCCTGCTACTCACTAGTTCGAATGACCTCTGGGAAGTTGCATAATCTTTTCGTGTCTCAGTTTATTCACCCTGTACAAAAGGGAGGAGGAAGACAGCGGTACAGCACCTATCTCGCCCATGGAAGCTGCAGTCAAGAAATCAAACAATGCATTGCATTGGGCAAATCTGCGGCAAAAGATTTCTTTAAAAAAAGTGTTAATAAGCAAAGACGTCACTTTAAGGACTAAGGTGTGCCTCACCCAAGCCATGGAGTTTTCAATTGACTCATATGCATGCGAAAGCTGGACAATGAATAAGGAAGACCAAAGAAGAATTGACGCCTTTGAATTATGGTGTTGGCAAAGACTATTGAATATACCATGGACTGCTTTCAAATCTGTCTTGGAAGAAGTACAGCCAGAATGCTCCTTAGAAGCAAGGATGGCAAGACTTTGTCTCACATACTTTGGACATGTTATCAGGAGGGACCAGTCCCTGAAGAAGGACATCATGCTTGGTAAAGTAGAGGGTCAGCGAAAAAGAGGAAGACTCTCAACGAGATGGACTGACACAGTGCCTGCAACAATGGGCTCAAACACAGCAAGGACTGTGAGAATGGCGAAGGACCGGGCATTGTTTTGTTCTGTTGTGCATGGACGGGGTCACCGTGAGTTGGGACTGACTCGATGGCACCGAATGACAACAACAACATAGGGGTGTTGGGAAGATTAAGTGAGGCTCCCTATAAGGAACCAGTAAAACAATACCTAGTAAGCACCATGTCCACGTGATCTAGTATTACCAAGCCCTGGTGGCACAGTGGTGAAGCACTCTAGCTACTAACCCAAAGGTCAAACCTATCAGCCACTCTGTGGGAGAAAGACATGGCAGTCTGCTATCATAGTTACAGCTTTGGAAATCTTATGGGGCTGCTCTACCCTGTCCTGTATGGTCACTGTGAGTTGAAATCTACATGATGGCAATGGGCATTCTTACATAGACTCTTTATCTTACATAGATTATCTGTTGGACACTCTGCTAAGTAACCTTTTACTTATACTATCCTATTTAATCTTAAAAACAACCCCATAAGGTCTTAAAAGCTTGCAAGTGGCCATTTAAGACACAATAAGGGGTCTCTACTCACCAGGAGCAAAACAGTAAGAAGGTACCAAAAGCTCAGAGAAAAAACAAGTTTACACTAGCCACGACCTCGTCTACCTTGAGATCAGAAGAACTAGATGGTGCCCAGCTACCACCACAGACCGTTCTGACCAGGGTCACAACAGATGGTCCTGGATAGAATGGTAGAAAAATGTGGAGCAGAATTCAAATTCTTAAAAAAAAAAGTCAGGCAAACTGGAACAGCAGAGAACAGAGAACTCCCTGAGACTATCGCCCTGAGACACTCCTTAAACCTAGAACTGAGTCTATCCCCTGAGATCCCCCTTTAGCTAAATAGCAGAGTGGCACACAAAAAAAGGCTATTACCCGTAAGATTGGTGCGCTCCTTAAAAACCATCAGTATGAGACCAAAAGGTCAACAACTACTCAAAAGCAAAGATGAGAATATAAGGGGCCAGGGAAACTAGAGTACTGGAAATGGAACCAACAGAACACAATTAAAGGGAATGTTGACACACTGCGATAAATGTAACTAATATCACTGAACAATTTGTGCAGAAATTGTCAAATGGGAAGCAACCTTGCTGTGTAAACTTTCACCCAAAACTCAGTAATAAAATAGTAAACACAACAACAAAACTGTGTGATTTAAAAATCAGCTTTACAAAGAAACTGAGGCTTAGATGGATTAAGGAATTTATCCAAGATGGCATATCTAAACTAAACATCCTACTTATTCCAGAGGATAAATTTTTAACTACTTATATGTGGGTAAGTATTCAGCTGCTAACCAAAAGTTCAGCAGTTTGAATCCATCAGCCCTCCTTGGAAGCCATATGGGGCAGTTCTACTCTGTTCTATAGGGTCGCTGTGAGTCGGAATCAACTGGATGGCAATGAATCAACGGGATAAGGAGCGCTGGTGGGGCAGGTTAAAGCGCTCGGCTGCTACCCAAAAGGTCTGTGGTTCCAACCCATCAGTCACTTAGTCAGCTTCTGTAAAAAATATAGCCTAGGAAACCCTATGGGGCAGTTCTGCTCTGTCCTATACGGTCGCTGTGAATCGGAATCCACTCGTTGGCGTTGGGTTTGGTTTGGTTATACCGTCTCTAAAATCTGAACACTTTTTTTTTCATATGCTTAAAATGTCAAAATATGAAGAAAAGAAACAACACACGGCCTCCTAAGAACCAAATAGATTTTTAAAAAGTGATTAAAGGAGGGGCTGATGTCCTAAATCGCCTCAGGAGAGTTGAGATCCGCTCACAGCACATAAGGAAAACAAAAGATTAATTCATGCGCTGACTCATTCTGTAAACATTTATTGAGCGTCCACTATTTTGTAAGAGTTGGGGATGCAGGACGAAAAAGGAACGCTTTCAGCCCGTGAGCAGCTTGCAGGGAGCGAGAGTGGCTTTCCAGACTGCAGGTTGTTTTGGAAGTCCAGCTGCAGAAGCACCAGGACTCCCTTGAACCCAAGCCAAGCTCTGTATTTACAGCGATCGTAGTGAGTTTTACTGCTCGGCGCCTGCTCGCAAAGTGGGGAGAGGCTGGTGGAATGAAGACGCTCTTTCTTGCGGGCCAGCCCTGCTTGGAGCTGCGCTAAAATGGGCGCGTTTGGAAGCGGGTTCAAACCGCGCGCCCGGGCAGCGGCTTCCCGGACTCCGGCTGGAGTGCCGCGGGGCACCCGTGCGCCCAGGCTCCTGCTGTGTGCGCCAGGCCTCCCTGGCTTCCCGCAGTGCGGAGAGTGCGAACTCCACGAGCACCCCAGGTCGACCTCAGGTGGGCGCCACCGGGGTTACCTGCGCGCCGAGAGTGAGGCGCCCATTCGGCGGGCTACCGCTACTTCCTGCTTGGTTTGCCCTTAACTGACATGGCGGCTGTTTGCCTTCGGCCCGGCCCACTGCGGCTGCTCAGAAACCGAGGGCAAGCCATCGCTCTGCAGCCCGCCGCCGCCGCCGAGCTGCCGGGGAGAGCCTGGGACTCGGCGTGTCTGGGTGTAGCTAGGGGCGAAGGGGTGACAGGGGCAAGCCAAGGAAGACGAGGACCCAGGGCAGTGCGGCGGTGTGCCCGCCACTCTCCCCCGGCACCCAGGCTGCTCCAGGCCCAGGGTGTGCTTCCCTTGTCCCCGCCACCTCCCGGTCCCTGGCCCATCATGATATTGACCAAAGCCCAGTACGACGAGATAGCCCAGTGCTTAGTGTCTGTGCCGCCCACCAGGCAGAGCCTGAGGAAGCTGAAGCAGAGGTTTCCCAGGTAAGTGTCCTCTCTTCTCTCTCACAGCCTGTTGTCTGCAGTGGCTGTGCCGGGGCAGCCCAGCCCGCGCCTGGGAACCACGTGTCACAACACGAGTGGGGAGGAACATATGTCAGGCGCTAGGAGAGCCAGGATGGAAGAAAGGTTTCTTCTTTCACCGCCTTCCACATGAAATTCCTAATGGACAAGTTCCATTGCAGCCTCCAAAGCCTTGCAATTGAATTCAAGTCAATCCATGTTTATTGAAAGCTTGCTGAGCGGTAGGTGATGCGTGCACACAGTACCTGAAAAACCTGTTGCCATCAAGTTGATTATAGCGACCCTAAAGAGCAGGGTAGAACTGCCCCATAGAGTTTCCAAAGAGTGCTGGTGGATTTGAACTGCTGACCTTCATGGTGAGCAGCCATAGCTCTTAACCACTACACCACCAGGGTTTCCGTGCATGTTGTAGGAGTTCCTTAAATGTTCAGGAGTTAATTGACAGATACAAGGAATGAATGGTAGGTGGCAAGCCCCTCTCTAAGTGAACATACAAATTGTAGATTCAAAACGAGGAAATGGAGAACCCTTTTCAGGTGGCCATTAGAAACAAACGAGGGGAGCACAGGCCTAAAGGAGCCTCCTACTCCTGACTGTGACCCTCTAATGCACTTGAGTGACCTCAAGGTTTCTCAGTCCATTCGGAGACTCGTACCCTGAGGATTCCACTCTTGATTCAACATTGGCTGTTGGAACAACCAGATCTGAAAAATGCTTCTTCCCATATGTGTACACGTTCTAGGTGAATTTCATACTTCTCTTTCTGCCATCCCCTCCCCATCAGTGATGTTAGGGGTATCCAACTAAGAAAGGAATTTAGGAACTATATAATTATAGATTAAGGAGCCCATGTGGTGCAGTTGTTAAAACTCTGGACTGCTAACCCGAAATGTTGGAAAGGTTGGTGGTTCAAAACCAACAGTGGCTCTGTGGAAGAAAGATGTGGCAGTCTGCTTCCATAGAAATTTACAGCCTTGGAAACCCTATGGGGTCACTGTAAGTCCTAATCGACTCGATGGCCGTGAGTTTGGTATAATATAGATTGCTCATTTTAAAAATGTGAAAACTGAGGCCCAAATATTACACAAAGAAATAGTCCAGGGCAACCAGGTTATTGTACATGTATTAAAAGTATAGAATGTTTGTTTACTTTTCTTCTGATTGGAAACCAAATCCAGACCTGCACCATTTTGTTTCGTTGTATCAAGTACCAAAGAAACTCCTTGCAGTCTAGTGGATTCCTTCTCATGGATAGAGTTACCCCTTCCTGGAGAGCTTTCTCATCCTTGATTTGTAGTGGTTGAGCAGAGATCACCATAGAACTATTTTCTTGAGGAAAGAGAGGTTCTTGGATAATTACACTAATAAAGGACAAATTGAAACATATGTTGAAGGTCTTTTTTGACTTCACTTATTGGGGAGACTCAGTTTTCCTAATCTGCAAAATGAGGAGTCACCAAGATCTCTTGCCAATATTACCAGATTTCATTTAGGGCAGTGTTTATCCCTTTATAGTTTTTAAGATTTCTCTTGGACTTGCTAACAAGGATCAAAATTGACAAGTTGGAGTTTAATTTTTGTCACTGACTCTTGCCAACTCTGCCAGTGAACGGTGAAATGGCTGAAGGCGGGGCAGCCAAAGAAATAGGTAGATTGTTCTGGGACATTTTAAGATAGGGCATACACTTAGATATTCTGTTCTTGTTATGTACAAATATTACCACTTTGTCATTTTGTCTCTCCTCTTCTCTCTTTCTTTCTTTTCCTTTCCTGTAGCACATTACTTGTTCTTTCCATGAGACGTCATTTCTCCATACCATCAACACTTACGTGGGGGCACCGTACACATCTTACTTATTCTCTTATGCTCTTTTCTTCCTTATTCTTGAGATGCCGAATATTTCTCACCTCTCCAGCCATCATTGAAGGAATAACTAATTCTCCTTCCACCAGAAACTTCATTTAGAGAGGCTTCTCTGCTAATCTGCGAGAAAGAAGGAATTAAAGAGGGTTTTAGCAGGATGGATGGGGATTCTGTAAGTAATGGAATTTTGGAGTTGGTTTCACAGTTTTCTTCATAGCACTGTTTTACCTCAGATGGTGTAGTCTGATCGTTGCAAAGGCCTTGAGCAACCTTTGCATTCGATAGTTCATTTTACCCAAGAGTCAGTCTGGTAAGGACCTCAGAGATAATTTCTGGTAGTTCAAAGAGGTTAAGTGACTTGTCAGAAATCCCAGAGATGTTTAATGGCCAAACAATGTCTAGAATACAGGTTTCTTGACTCTTATTTTAGAGTTGTATGCTAAGCTGTGTTCATTAGTTTTAATAATAATGCTCTTGACAGTAATTATTTTTTGCTGGCTGGCATTCATATACAGTGAATACTAAAAAAAAAAGTAGTAAAATTTCTGTTAACATTTTATATATTTTTTTCTAGTACTTTTTTCAGTGCAATACTGTCTCTGTCAGCACACTTTGTATATCTTGCTTTTTTGACTTAACATACTATGAGCATTCCTTACCTTTAAAATTCTTTATAATTTGTTTCAAATAACCAGTAATATCATACTCAGGATGTACCATCATTTATTTCTCCATTCGCTTATCATTGGATACCAAAAGCCTTAAAAAAATTTTTTTTGGTATAATTTATTTTTGCACACATATAATGCCAAGTTTTAGCTTATTTTCGGACTACAGATTCCCAGAAGTTGAGAATGACCATACCAGCAATTTTCAAAATTTTTGGTCTCCAGGTATCTTTACACTCTAGGAGAATATTGAGGACACCCAAGAACTTTTATTTCAGTGGGTTATATCTGTTAATATTTACCAAAATATAAATTGGAACTAAGAAATTAAAAAAATAAATTTATTAATTTCTTTAAAAGTAATAATAATAGCCCATTACATGTTAACATTCTTTTATGAATAATAACTATAATTTATTACTATAATCTATGTTATAGAAACTATAACTATAATTTCAAAAAATAGTGGGAAATGGCATTATTTTACATTTTTGCAGAACTTTTTAATGTTGGCTTTAATAGAAGAGGTCTCTGCTTCTGCACTCAACCTGTTGTGATGTGTTGATAGAAGTATATGAGAAACTGTGGCCTCTGACAGATATGTAGTTGCAAAAGGAAAGAGTCATTTAATAGACTTTTTTAAGGTAATTGGGCATATTTTTGTTACTTCACAAAACCTGACAAGTGGCAATTTCTTAATTGCAATGTGGAATCTGAAGCCACATCAAGGAACTTTCCATACTCTGTTATGTTGCAGTCCATTGGCCTGTCTTGAACTTTGAGTGCACCTTTTACCCATGCACGATTTTTATCATCATGCATTGGTATTTGGAAAATATTGGCTGTGAGTTATGCAGTCTCCCAAATGTCACCTTGCATTATACAATATCAGAAAATCACAGTTCTTAATATCGCCACTGATCTCATCAGAAAACCCTGTAAGATTTGAAGCTGTCAGGCCTCTGGTAACAGATAGGAGTTTTCCAATACTTGAATTTTCCCTGGAAAGCTCGGGCTTTATCAGTGGCAACAGATACTATCAGTTGTTTTCCTGGAAGTGACAGGCTCACTTTGTTTATTTTTTTATTTTTTAAAGCAAAAAGAAAGTTTTATTCAGCATATATTCAAAAAGGCAAAAGTGGGAAACGGGCAACCATGCTGCCAGAGCCATGTCTGCCTGAGTCCAAGGAAATAACACAGAACAGACAAAAGTGGGAAAACGGACAGGCATGCTGCTAGAGCCATGTCTGCCCAAGTCCAAAGAATATTACAGAACAGACAAGAATGGGAAAAGGGACAAGCAACACTTTGTTTATTTTTGAGAAAATGTCTACCAGTACCCAAATCTGAATAATCATACTTTGTTAGTCATTCATTAAAGTCAAAACGGTGTTTCACGGAAAACATGGCTAGCTCAGCTCTCAAACGTCGGTACAAGTGCTTTCCTGTGAGACGACTATCATCCTTTGATTTGCAATTAAAAAAAAAAAACCATTGCCGTTGAGTTGATTCCGACTCATAGTGACCCTGAAGGACAGAGTAGAACTGCCCCATAGGGTTTCCTGGAGCGCCTGGTGGACTCGAACTGGACCTTTTAGGTTAGCAGCTGTAGCTCTTAACCACTGTGCCCCAGGGTTTCCCTGGTTTGCAACAGATGCGCATTATGCGTACTTCCTGTTTTCCCATACAGAACCTTAAAAGGATATGTATTCAAGGACTGGATTTAATAAATTAATAAGTGAATCCTAAGTGAAGCTGGCTTTTTCCCCGCGTAAGTGTGTGGTGCTGAAGAATACGGTGACCACTAGTACAGTTACGATTAATTTTAATTTTATGATTGTAGGGTTGCTGTGAGTCGGAAAGGACTCGAGGCAACGGGTATCGTTTTGTTTAGTACAGCCTGGTGCCCCTGACTTGATTTGCGCTCAAAAGCCAGCAGTTTTACCCACGGTTGGTTTTGCACCGTCAGCGCAAATGCCAACCCAGAGAAAAAGGCAAATAATGTCTATTAAAAAAAACTGACCTTGTAGACCCTTGAGAGGGTCTCAGGGACTCTGGGAGTCTACTGGGCACCCTTTGAGACCCACTAGATGAAATATGTTTTAAAGGGCATTGCTGTGTATTGACAAATTACTGTCAAAAAAAAAATCCATTGCTGTCGAGTCGATTCCATCTCATAGTGACCCTATAGGACAGAATAGAACTGCCCCTTAAGTTTTCTAAGGAGCAGCTGGTGGATTTGAACTGCCAGCCTTTTTGTTAGCATCTGTAGCTCGCGGTAGCTCTTAACCGCTGCACCAGCAGGGCCCCTATTGGATAGGTTATGTTAATTCTGTTACCAGGAGGACAGGGGAGTGTCTGTTCCTGCACTTCTGCCGGCATTGAGGAGAGTCATTATTTAATGTTTAATATGATGGGATAATAATGAT